TATTATTAACATTAATATTTTATTTTTTATTAAAAAATTAATACTTTTTTTTATGTTCGCAGGCAAATTTGCCTGCTCTACAGTTTAAGGGATAAAAAAAATTAAATTTTTAACCTTATATATATTTTATTATCTATTAATTTCAGAAATATAAAAATATAATTATTTAATAGATCTTAATAAGATAAATCTAATAATCTAAATTTTTTTTTTGTAATCATTTTTTTTTTAAAGATGTGATAATGCTACCATTTATTATAAAAAATTCAAATCCAATAAATTATTACATGAAAATTTTAAAAATAAGATACAAAAGTAGAAAAAAATAAACTGAACTGCCTAAAACATCCTTGCAAGTTAAAAACTTACTAGTCTTAAACTAACTAGTCATCTTATTATACTTAAAGATAATTACTAATAGAATTCTCTTCAACACATAATAACTAAATTATTACTACACCCTTCTCTTTTTTCTAACAATAATTTCTATTCTAAATTTAAATTTAATATAAAAACAAATAATTTGAATTATTGTTAAACTAAAAAAAAACTAATAAAAAATCTGATTCTAATAAATTCTTAGTTAAGTTACCTGATTAATTCCTGGTTATAAAAACCTTTCAATATAAGAATGCTATATCACTAAGTTCTATTGAAGGCTCTTCAATACTCTTAAACTTTTATGCTAAGATATCTGCTAATTCAGATTACAGCCATCAGCAAATGTTATATAAAGTCAAATTATATACTATAATTACGAGAAACTGAAAAATCCCACTAAAATTGACAAGCTCTATAATATTAGAGATCTAAAAAGATTGTAATTAATTAAAAAGATGATTAAGAAAGTCATCACATATGATTGATTGATCTAAAGTTGTTATTAATCCTGATTATCATTTGAAATACTCCTGATGTTCACTTTAATAAATAAAAAAAATGGAAAAAATACAGAAAAAAATAACTAAAAGAAGTGGCAAAAAAATATTTTAACAAAAAACAACACTATTTGGATTAGCAAAATCTGTTTTTTAAAATAAGAGGGTTTGGAAAAAATAAAGAGAAGAAGAAGTTTGTAAAAGGAGTTTTTGTTTTTGTTTATAAGTTAAACTATGATCATTCTTGAACATATATGTTTTTTATGTAAAATTTTTAGTTGAGTGTAAAGCTCTAAATGGTTCAGTTTAGTTCAGATTAGAAGCTAATTCAAATTTATACTGAAAATTTCAGTTCAGTTCAGTTCAGATTATTAATCCTAAAAATACCAATTCAAATCTAAACTGAATTGCAAACTGGTAAAAATCTAAACTGAACTAGAATTTTCAGATTAATCTAAAATTACAGTTCAATTATATGTGAATCTTGAAGAAAATCCACAATTTATATATAAAACTCTAGGAAAATCATAAAAAATTGTGAATTTCTCTTCAAGATTTGTGAAAAATTGCGAAATTTGAAGAGAAATCACAATTTTTTGCTACTTTTCAAAAGATTTCGTGATATTGTTTGTAAAATTCAAAGAAAATTGCAAAATTTACGATTTTCTAAGATTTTTGTATTTTTTTGCAATCCTCTTAGAAAATTTACAAATTTTTGCGATTCACTAAGAATTTCGCAAGTTAATCTTTCTGTATAAAAGTATTTACGAGCAACTTCTTTTTGTTCATAAATTTTTTTCAAAATTATTACCTTACTACCTTTGTACCTATTGGGTTTCGCAGCATCCTTTAATTTTGAAGCTTCAATTTTTCCAATAATATTAGATTCAGTTTCAAATTTTGAACTTTCATTCAGATAATGAATATTATCAATTTTTCTGTTAAGCAGAATAAAATTAAGTTTACATTTGTTCTTATTCACCTTATATTCTAAGAGTTCGTTATTTTGTTTAATAATTTGTCATATTGTTCTTCAATATTATTAACTTTAACAGTAATCTTTTTATTATTTTAAACATATAAAATGGTGGTATGATTCATCATATATATAATATCACCTTCAATATTATCTAGATTCTAAATCAATTAAAGATCGAATAATGAAATGCATAAATAATATAATTGCATCTTTTATACCTCTCATA